CATATAATCAGTTAAAATCCAAATATACACTCACAATGCAATATATGAAATCATGATCACATTTTATATGCAATATTGCATACTGCAGACACATACACACTAATGTTAATCTTTTCTTCTCAGATTATTTCCCACACTTTAAATCTGGTATCTAAGTTTCTCTACCTGCAGCCTCTATGAGCATCTCCCTCCTACTTTCTAGTAGCAGTCAGCCTTGGCAGCAGCTGCAGCACTACAGCAGGTCAGTCGCAATGAGCCAGTTCCAAACACTGTCAGCTATATTTACATCTTGTCATGGTCACATAACAAATGTTAATCAGTTAATATATCTCCATTGTCTGTCTGAATATCTTTTGTCTCAGATCACCTCCAGTAGTGTCACCAACAACCTCAAAGGCAACAACCGCAGTATGAACATCCCCAGCAACCCCCCTGAAAAGCAACTGTTCCCCGTAAGTTATGTCCGCCAACAATGTTTTAAAGCTAGAGCTGGAAATTTCCTGCAATCTCACAATAAGATACATATTACTAAAAAATGAGTAATGATCATGTCATACGCAAGTTTTACTATAACAGGTGTTTTTTATTATTCTGTATAACAGAGAAGGAAAAACCTTAAGGTTTGGACAACTTAAGACACTTCAGTTTCTAATCCCATAGTTATTATTAATAGGTGCAAAGAAAATATTCTTTAACTTTTGAACTTAAAATGTCTTTTCGGTACTAAATTTCTTGTTCAAAACTGCATCACAGCAATTGCTGAGAGAGGCATCCGTATCTATACGCGTATCAAGCAAGGAATACTTTACAAAATATTGCTATATCAATTTTTTGAAAACAGCACTTTTTAAATCATTGTTTCATGTGCCCCTTTTATGCTTTCAGCACCTGCCCCTCCAAAGGTCTCTGCACGGCCCTGCATGTATATGTACCTGTATATCACATCCACCTCCGACATGTACATACTCCTGCATCCTTTGCACTCTGCTCACTGCACTATTTGTCAATCTGTCTATATTGTTTTTGTTCATAGTGTGTATATTTGTGTTGTCTACACTGAAGTCTGTGTCTGACTTTTAGTTTATTTTTATTATTGTGATTTTGTATTTTTGTATGAGTAAGCACATCGTGAGAAATGTAGAGTGAAATTCCTCATTATGTGTACACATACCTGGCAATAAAGCTGATTCTGATTCATATAGTCCCAATTAAAACTGTCACCACAGGACTCTACTGTTGGAATGACCTGTGCAGACTATATTATTGCTGAATGCTCTGGTTGATATTACAGCCTAATAATGTGACGTCAGCAGCTGTTTGCACTTGCTTTACTCACAGTGTTCATTTTTACGATCCTACTGCCCATCCACACATCACATTCCACAATAAAAACATCAGTGATATCAAAATGAAATGACATTAAGGAAATCAGTTAGAGCAGCGCTTTATGGGGCACTACACAAACGGTGAAGGCAGGGAGTTTGACCGCGCATTTTATGATTTTAAAAAACTAATACAACAGGAACAAAGTAGATTCCTGCTCCAGCCATAGGTTGGTCCAGCTGCATGTCATGCCTCTTTAAAACGTCACAGATCCAGAAAAGACTTCTGCAAAGGATACACCGGTGTATCCTGCTTATAGCAGCCTCCTCGATCTCCCAAGGAAATTCCAGCAAGCCTCCACGATCCTCAAGGTGCATTTTAAGAATTGAGATGTTCTTCAAGATGGCGTGCTGAGACCGATTTTTGGGTCACAGGCTCATGGATCGAGGAGGCACAAATTAGGGAAATGAAACACTCTCTCCCTCTCTTTTTCTCTCTCTCTCTCTCCCTCTCTCTCTCCTTCACCCCAACCGGTCGAGGTTTCTGCCTCTTAAAAGGAAGTTTTTCCTTGCCTCTGTCGCCTAGTGCTTGCTGGTGGGAACTGTTGGGCTTCTGTAAATATCATTACAGAGTACGGTCTAGACCTGCTCTTTTATGAAAAGCGCTGTGAGATAACTGTTGTTGTGATTTGGCGCTATATAAATAAAATTGAATTGAATTGAATTGAAAATAGGTCCTTAAGCCCCTTTTGCACTGATGGTACCAGCTTTCCTCGCCTCGCCTTTCTTTGGTTTTCCATTGTGGAAAAGTTGTACCTGTACCTGCTTCCAGGTACTTGTTTTTGTATCACCTCCATTGAGATTCCAAGCGAGCTGAAGCAATACTAAAACAGAGAATCGTCACTATTCACTGCATCATCATTGCTGCACCAGACAGAGGCCAGCAACAGAAAGGTTTATATTTTACAGTTTTCATATGGAATTTCATCACTAAATCCACTTCTGAGAAGTTTTGAGGTGAGAAATCAGCTGTGTAGATTTCAAATATTGACAGTTTTACAAGAAGTGATGGTGGAACAAAAATGTGCTTGAATATTTTCGGACTTGAGGAGCTCCGCAAGTGGCGGAGACTGCGCCAACCCGCTCACGGAGCCCTCTGCTCCCGCCGTCACACAGACCGCTGCAGCAACAACGGCAGAGGAAAACACAGCTGGAAGGTTTTCATACCGCTTATCTGTCTTTACATTCTGAGGAATATTGAAACGTTTTAACTTAAAAAAGAGAAAGCTGTGTGGATCGCTGGTGTGTGTGTCGCACTGAACATTACGTCGCGGCAGTTGTGTGTAGCGTCGCTATGACGACAAGCTACGTACTATCTCTGGGTACTGTGTCTGCAATGGAAAACAGAGCACGGCCAAAACTGAGTCGAGTCGAGTCGAGCTGGTGCTGGTAATGGAAAAAGGCCATTAGTCTGTCAGTTCAGTTCTGTTCCAAAAGTAATCTTCACTTCTTCACAACAACTTACAATATGCAGACCTACTCATGGAACCTTATACGCGTGCGGTGTATACGTTTGTACAAAGTGTAATGCGATCATGTTAATGTAACACCTAAATGAAACGCACATTACCTACACCACATTCATAAGACAGTGGTGTAACCATTGTAGATAGAAATTTAAATTTTAAAAATTATATATATTTTCAAGTCTGGTTCTCAATAAATACACAAATAAATAATGGTATCTGCAGGCATGTGTGACTTTTCCCCAATACACCATAACCCACTGCTCTAAATGTTTTCATAAGCCTTAATTTTTATGTGTAAAAACCGAACTTGTGTCTGGCCTGAAAATATTTTACAACAACATATTTTGGGGTCAGTAAACAGTGTGTATAGGTTTTGCAAATCAGTCTAACATATTGAAGGAAACACCTTTGCTGTTCACTGTATTCATCATGCAAAATAACAGGATTTCAAACATATCGATTTCGTTTGCAACAAAAAAAGCTAATGCCACGAGATCACCCTTTGTTCAGAGCCTGTGCCTGACTTGATGGTAGTATTTTTCTATCCCACCCAGCCCTGAGCCCACAGCTCACATTTCACTATCAAGTCTTCGAAAGTCAGCTACAGTCATCTTGAATGCACCTATTGATACCATTTTTATTTCTATGCACATGTGTGACTCATAACACGTGTGCATCGAAATAAAAATTGTATGTATGTGTATGTATGCCTGTGTGCGCATCCTGCAACTGTACATGCGTAACTCTTAACCAAGGCTTCAGCTGCCAAAAGCAAGAGAACACCGTTACCACATGGGGCTTTTAATAATAATAATAAATAGAAATCCAAAATACGTATGTGCGTCTTGTCACTTTCCACCCCCCACAGTTTATGTGTGTGTGTGCGTGTGTCAGGTTGGAATAGCCCCAAAAAGCTCCAACACAAAAAGAGGATCACAGAGGTAAGACAGATTTGACAGAAATGACTTCCAGTACGCAGACTGCTTCCTTTTTAAAGTCCTGCGTCAACATTATCAATACATATCCAAATGAAAACAGCAGGAGGGACAACGACATCACTCCCCTCTTTGGTAGTTAAAGGGATATTTGGGTTTGAGTTTGATGTGGGGCTGTATGAGCTTCAGGAGAAGCAAAGTTAGTTCAAGTGTATGCTATGTGTAGAATATTTTCAGTGTTTGATGTTGCAACTTGGCTGTGCACTGTGTAAAGGAAAGGGCTTTCTGATGGCAAGGTTAAGCTAGATAAAATACCTAACTATAACTGTGTGTACTCGGTGAAGGGTGCAACTATAGCTGCTTTCACACTGCATTATTTTCCGGTAGTGTAGCGCCAATACGCAGGCTTGCTGCGCTAAATGAAAGTCATGGAGCCGTAAAGGGGGGTCAGATCTGAGCCAGGAACGTTGGTATTGACAGGTATGTGCCGCTGGTTCCAGAAAGCCAAATCACAAACTGTTGTTGTTGTTGAACAATCAGAATTTTCCTCATTTGGGTCCCTTAAAAGTCTGTCCTCTTCTAACAAAAGCCCTCTGCCACCTCAAGTAACTTGACGCCTGCCTCTAGCAGAGCATTATCTGGGACAGTAGCCACATGGTGTGCATGGTCACAGGCAGGTGACACACAGACTCTGCATGCATAGCCATCACCTCGCTATGTGCTCGGGTAATGAATTTATCAAACAACCCAAAAAGGCAGTGCTCACTTTCAGGTTGTGGCAGGTGACTAGCGGGACCTGCTGTGGATGTTTGATAAACTGATGGGGTGCACCGCTTCACCCGAGCACACTGGGAACTGATCAAACACTATCTACTATTAAATTATGAATAGTCTGACAAACTTTTCATGGAAGTCATGGAAAATTAGAACCTTGGGAGCTTTCCTTTTGTATCAAGCAGCAAAGTAGCTGTAGCATGACATGTTTGATGTTTAATTTGCCTTAGACTAATCGCAAATATTTGGTCTGAATTGGCTTTAATAAAACCTGTAACCAATAAAGATACAGCTGAAAGAAATCTTTTATAACACTGATGAATCACGACACAGCTGTTCCATTTGCATGAACACAAGCCATGCTCTTTAGAATTTCTGTACAACATATCAATTAAAAAAAACCTGAATCCTTCTTTGAAACAATTAATGGTAAAGGATACATTTCTTCAAAGTAATCGATGTGTGGAGGCTGCAGTATGTCCAGAGCAGAGAGCACCTGAGGAGAGAATTAAAGCCAAGGTATGGGGGTTTCTTTTTACATTTCAATCTTAATACCAGGTATCTGTATCCTGAGATTTTCTGAGTAATTACGGCTGATTACAGAACCTTTTAGACTTGGTATTAAAACGCACTGCTACACTTGTCAATACTGTGACCCTCGTCTTGCTTGTTGTAGCTGTCCTTTGAGACTCTCCTGACGTGACACTTCTGAAATCTACTTATTTTTCAAGGGCTTGTCTGTAGCCATTTGATGGGCAGCTGGCATTCACACCTAGCTCAGGATCCAGAACTCAGAATAGCAGCTGGAAAGGGGGTCTAAGGTGTGTTTGTAGATGAAAGATTTTAGCATTGTTTGTACTTACATTTTCATGTTTGAAGAAACATAGCATCTTAAGCTCCCGAAATACCCTCTTGCAAGAAACAAGATTTTGGAAGACATTGGGCATTTTTTTGAGGGCAACCCGCTTTCCATCTCTGGGGTCTGTCACTGACCTGGGAGAAGAGGACAAACACAGTATTACTAAGAGGCACGAGTTTGCACTTTCATATTGTTTATTTTAAGATTATACAATAACTCTGATAATAAAATGTAACAGTTTTTCAGACACCTATGAATCAACGTTTTGGTTCACACTAAGTAAGTCAGTGACTACTGGCCAGGTATGTGCACTCAGGGTCTCCAGAGGCTGATTCCTAATCTTTGTATTCAAACCTGTATTACATTTACATTTATTCATTTAGCTGACACTTTTATCTAGATAAAAGCAACTAGGGGTTAAGTATCTTGCTCAGGGACACAATGGTGGATGGGTTACAGTGTGGGATTGAACCCCGGTCTCTCACACCAAAGGCATGTGTCTTATCCATTGCGACAGACCTTTTCCTTTGAACCACTATGGTTCTCAATGAGGTTACAGCCCATTCACATTCTATGCACGTGTATATCCTGAACTTAGCTGCATCTCAGGCTATAGGACATTCCTATTCTTTTTTGCAAAATCACAAAATGTGTGAAATCTACTTTTTTTAAAGAGATCGACCTGCACGAATCTTTGCACACAGAATCAATGGACCCTAGTGATCAAAAGTTCAATCAAAAAATGTTCAAAAGGAACAACTCCCTGTAGGTTAAGGTCAAAACAAGAAGTGGCGTCATATTTCCACATAGAACTTGTACAATTAACATGAAACTTGGACCAGTACTCTCCCTGCTTTCCCGGCTCTGCACATAATTTGGTGCCAATCAGCCACTAGGTGTTTTTTTAAAAGAAACAATTTACTGTAAGTCAAGATTAAAACAGGAAATGATGTCATAGCAAAGAGGTCTGTCTGATTAGCACAAAATTTGGGTCACTTGGATGGTCTCCGGGGCTTGAACCCTGTTGATCCTTGCTTACAGGTCTAGTTATTATTAGCCCTATTATTAGTATTATCATTACTATTAAAGAGGTGGTATTATGCTTTTTGCCTTTTCCCCGCTGCTTTATTGAGTTATATTTCTTTTTTGTGCATGTAATAGATTTGCTAAGTGAAAAAGCCCAAAGTCCAGCCCAAAGGGAGTTCCCATCTCCTAAAGAAAACACCGCTCTGAACTGCCTGTTGCATCACATGGTAACACGCATCATAAGCACAGCGGCTAATCAGGCATGCACTCAACAACACCGGTGGAAAAACACACTGAGCTGCAGCGCAGGTACAGTGACAAGATGTCCACCTGCTGCCTCCCCTCATCCCCACGCTCCCGTCCCTAACGTTAGACCGTCCCTAACGTTAGACAGTCAGTGGACATAAAGCAGTTGCTGTGATGTACAGACAATGCACAGTTAAAATGTTACATATGAAAGATCAATGTGTTAGAGATTAACAACTCATTACTCTGAAACTCTTAGGTCTTGGTTGCAAAGCTAAAGCTGAACCGAAGCAGTGAGTACCAGCTTGTCAAGACATGCCCTACTCTGCTTCTGATTGGCTAGTAGTCCTTAACTAGGTACTGTGCATGTGCAACTCCCAACAAAGCTCTTTCAGAAGTGAGATGCATCACTCAGTAGCTAAAACGGAGCGTTCAACACAGAGGATGAAAGGAGGAGCTGCAGTAATGTGCAGTATGACAAAAAATAAGGTGTTTTTTTGAAAATGAAACCATGTAAACCTGTTCTGCTACAACACTTAAATAAAATGATGAACCTGAAAATGAGCATAATTACTGTTATTTTATATCTCTCTGTGGAACTTGCATTGTGCTTCTGTGAAATACTGAGTTTACATGGTGACTTAGTTGCTGCTCTAGAAACAACATTTAATTAAAGCTGCAAGCAGCGTTGGGCGGGCCCTCGCACTTGTAAGCGCGTCCGCGCGTGAGCCGGCCGAGTTGCATACTCTCGACCTCTGCCGGTGCGGCTGTGAATTTGCAACGCGGTTCCGACGGCGCATGAAGGTGTTATATGTCACTTCCTGTGTCCCCTATGTGGAGCTACATAGCACTTGCCGCTATGAATATAAATCGGTATTGGTGTGTAGATGTCTGCGGGGTGGGAGAGTTATCAAGCACGTAAAGTTTGGTTCAGATGTGAGCATGTACACTGAACAATAATGTACACAAACAATAAAATAAATTCCTTTTATATTTCCCTGCCTTGTTGTTTATGTGTACATACAGAGGAAGAATGTGAGAACAGCACACATTTCTTTTACATACATCACATACTTTTAATACAGCTCACACCCCTAATACTGTGTAACTATAACAAGTAGAGAACAGAAGAAAAAGATGTTCTTTCTTTACAACTGTCTGCATAGCTTATTCATATTGTGTAATGAATGAAAATAAATAGGTCTTCAGAGTTGTTAAACACCTCAGCGCACTGAAGGAAGCCATCTGACTGTGTGAGGAGCAAGATCGTTGATGTCTGCAGGCAGAGTATGCCTAGAGCTCTGTCTGACTGGTCTACCAATAGCAGAGAAGATGACCCCTTGAGACACAGCCCCTCCTCATTTGCATAATGAGGCAGAAATGCATACAGAAATTTAAAAAGGACAGGCAGAAATAAGGAAGAATAAAACAGACAAAAATATTAAAACACACATAAATAAATACATTTAAAAAATTAGTAATAAATAAAGTTGAAGATTATAACGGAGAATAAATAAATAAGGTAATTACAACAAAGGTGAATAAGTAAAGGCACTAATTAAAATATATACATTTATGTCTCCTTGTATAATTTAATTACTACCAACATTTATTTATTTACTTTATTTTTTTGTGTATTTAATTGGATGCTTATTTATTGAGCATTTATTTATTTCTGTATTTATTTCTGACTGTGTCATGATCGGTCCTCCATAGCGGGGTGTGAGAGTTATCAAGCACGTAAAGTTTGTTTCAGATGTGAGCATGTACACTGAAGTTACAACAACTTCCTGTGTCATGGCGAAGACTTGATCTTTGACGCCACGCCACGGACACGCCCATTGACGAAAACTCGCAAATAGCACAACTTTTCATCGTCAATGCCTTTAGAAGGCACAGCAGAAATTTGAAGTCGGTTGGACTAAATCCCTAGGAGGAGTTCGTTAAAGTACGAAGTGTACAAATCATCCAAAATTTGACGTAAAATTCAAAATGGCCGACTTCCTGTTGACTTTAGGGTATGGGTTCTTGAGGCTTTTTTGTGCGTCTTGATATGATACATGTCCCCAGCAAATTTCGTGCATGTAGGTTGAACGTGAACGAGGGGATAATTTTTTCCAATTTTCTAGGTGGTGCTAGCGAGTCATTTTGCCACGCCCATGCGCAAACCCATAAAATACGAAATTTTTCACCGGTTCTGACATGTTTCCAAATTTTGGTGAGTTTTCGAGTATGTTTAGTCCATGTCAATGGAGCCTACTTTGCAGAAAAAATATAATCTTAGCAAATTCAATAGGGACCTCACACGGTCGTGCTCGGGCCCTAACTATTTAATATATCTCATTCAAACTCAATAAGAGTATCAAGAGTAGTCTTATCGATAAATCCTAACCCATCACTACATTATACATTGCATTTCTTACAAAGAGTGTGGTCAAAACATGGCTGGTTTTATTTGTTGGTTGAGCACATTTGGTAAGAACAAAAATGGAGAGATCAAAGGCTTGTGTGGAACACTGCAGGTGTAAGTAAGAACATTGCATCTCTACACACTACAGCTACTACATCTTTCAACGCGACCTTCAGAGAACCTTTTTAAATAGGATCAGTCAAGGCAAACAGATGGCAGTGGACTACGATCCAAGGTTTCAAGACTAAGCTCCAACCACCAATAAGCTCACATTCTCAAACCAGACGCACTTTCAGCTGTTGACCTATTAGTCAGGGAACACCCCTGTGCTGAAGTGCATACATAATTAGAATATCATCAAAAAGTTGATTTATTTCAGTAATTCCATTCAAAAAGTGAAACTTGGATACTATATTCAGTCATTACACACAGACTGATATATTTCAAATGTTTATTTCATTTAATTGTGATGATTAAAACTGACAACTAATGAAAATCCCAAATTCAGTATCTCCGAAAATTAGATTACTACTTAAGACCAATACAAAAAAAGGATTTTTAGAAATGTTGGCCAACTGAAAAGTATGAACATGAAAAGTATGTACAGCACTCAATACTTAGTTGGGCTCTTTTTGCCTGAATTACTGCAGCAATGCGGCGTGGCATGGAGTCGATCAGTCTGTGGCACTGTGGCAGGTGTTATGAGAGCCCAGGTTGCCCTGATAGTGGCCTTCAGCTCTTCTGTATTGTTGGGTCTGGCGTATGGCATCTTCCTCTTCACAATACCCCATAGATTTTCTGTAGGGTTAAGGTCAGGCGAGTTTGCTGGCCCATTAAGATTAGGGATACCATGGTCCTTAAACCCAGGTACTGGTAGCTTTGGCACTGTGTGCAGGTGCCAAGTCCTGTTGGAAAATGAAATCTGCATCTCCATAAAGTTGGTCAGCAGCAGGAAGCGTGAAGTGCTCTAAAACTTCCTGGTAGACGGCTGCGTTGACCTTGGACCTCAGAAAACACAGTGGCACCATGGCACCCCAAACCATCACTGACTGTGGAAACTTTACACTGGACTTCAAGCAACGTGGATTCTGTGCCTCTCCTCTCTTCCTCCAGACTCTGGGACCTTGATTTCCAAAGGAAATGCAAATTTTACTATCAGAGAACATAACTTTGGACCACTCAGCAGATTGTGTAGCCTACAGAACTAGACTGAGAGACCATTTAAAGGCCTTTGCAGGTGTTTTGAGTTAATTAGCTGATTAGAGTGTGGCACCAGGTGTCTTCAATATTGAACCTTTTCACAATATTCTAATTTTCTGAGATACTGAATTTGGGGTTTTCATTAGTTGTCAGTTATAATCATCAAAATTAAAAGGAATGAACACTTGAAATATATCAGTCTGTGTGGAATGAATGTATACATTATACAAGTTTCACTTTTTGAATGGAATT